GACTTCTTCTCGTCATGTGTCGAGTTCTTGCCTAGACAGTGGTGCTCTCGGAGCTAGGTTTGGCGAGGTGGTTGTGCCCAAAGACCTCCATTTGGTGTCATGGCCCTAGTCCCCATCCGCATTCTGGGGTGGTGAACACGTCCGATGGTGTGGCGCCTCTCGAGCTAGGGCGAGGAGCTGTGGGCTTCCTCTGGAGATGGCATTGGCATACCCCCCCCCCCTCCCCCTGGTCGGCCGATCTCCTTCTCAAACCGGCTTCATTCGCAGCATTGGTCTTTCGAGCATGTATGAGGGCTCCTGTGTCTCGCTCTTTTACTTTTTGAGCTTTGTTGCTGCCCCCGGGCACGCATGTATCTTGCGAGAGCGTTTTATTTGCTTTGTTCTGCTATGTTGTGTTGTATTGTTGGATGTAAGGGCTCCATTAATTTAAACCGGGGCGCCAGATCCTTTTTTAAAAAAGTCGCATGAACAAATATCGTTTGAGCATGATTGGAGATTGTAAACAACATTGTAGGTGAAACTAGTATGCGTAGTAGTCCCGAACTGACTTGAGAGTCACGGCACATGACTGCCTTTATGGGCCATTATTATACCAATGCAAGGTGGTATTCATGTCTTAGGCTGCCCGTAGTGCGAGTATCATAGTAGTATCATACATGCCAACTAGAAATTTTTGATGAGATGGCAAATAATTAAATGAAGAAGGAGAAGGTTGAGTATCATATCATGATACCGTATCATATTAAATGATATGCTACTATGTATCTTGCATGTCAATAAATAAAGTTATCTATGATACCTATGATACTATCCACTGCGGATGTAGTATCATACACTAGTACGTACAATATACATGATATTAGTAAATGATACTAGCTCCCCATTACGAACCACATTAGATATATCTTTACTCATCCTTTCCACCATAGGAGTATTGCCTAAGACTCTTTATCTTTCCTATTTATAAAGGTTGGAGTTAGTGATGAGTTCACATATAGGACCAACAATCTTCATCAATAAAAAATACACCCTTACCCACATGTGAGACTAGCAACCTTCCAAAAAACAAAAATAAACAAATGCACTTTTACTTACATGTGAGGTCTAAAATAAATAAAAAATACACTATTACTTTCATGTGAGACCAATACTTGCAGAATGCACAAATAACAAATGAAAAAATGTGACTCCAACTCAAAATTATGCTCTTAAGCAATGACATAACTCATTGTATTTTATAGGTAGCAATGCATGGGTATTATGCTAGTTTACTTAAAAGAGTGAGATCATACATTGCAATTAAATTAAGATACCACAAAGAGATCAGTAAGAAAAAAGATGCGACGAGACTATGATTATATCTCATGTGCTATTTATGTTTACTCGGAAATGTGCAAGACATAGAGAGTGCTACAACACGCGTATATGTATTTTTGCAAAGTAGGACTAGTCCCTCGCCATAAATCTGTGCAGCAAATCTAATTTTTCGAGGGAAATTAAATGTAATTAGAAAACTACTGTAGTAACTTCCATTACACTTATTTTGCTCAGTATGTAGTCTATATTGGAACATCTAAAAAGATTTATATTTAGGAACGGAGGGAGTAGTTACTAGTACATTAATTCTAGTTTTTTTACCAGCATGCATTAGTCCAATCATTGAGCGTTAATTAATACAAGTATTGGATGAACAGGCGGGATGACTACACGAATTCTGTGGGCATTGACGCTGATGTGCAGAATCTTGAGCGAATGCTGCTTGGTGAAGCAGAACGTCAGCTAATGTTCATCTCCATAGTTGGGGAAAGTGGTATTGGAAAGAGAACACTTGGAAAAGTTATGTCTTCAAAGCTCACTGGGGAGTTCCGCCCTTTAATCCGGATCACTGCGCCACAAGGATGTACCCCGCATCTTCTCTTCAAAGAAGTCTGGGAGCATATAAAAGACCAGCGCGTTGTGGAAGAAAATGCAGACTGTGGCCAGCCAAGTGAATCCAGCAGTAAACTAATTGACAAGATCCGTCACCTTCTTGGTAATAAGAGGTACCTGTTGGTTCTTAGTGGCATATGCTCCAAAGCCATGCTCAACTGTGTGAAGGAGAGCCTGCCTGATGACAAGAATGGCAGCAGGGTGATGCTGACGTTCGACGGCGAGAATGAAGAGCTGGCATGGCATGCGAATACCATGAACAGGGAGGGCAGCACCAGCGGAATCCACCAGTTGAGCCGTATGAACAAAGAAAGAAGCGGAGAAGTATTCCGTTCAAGGGCCTTCAAGGAAGCAGAGTCAGATGAGGAGGGTTCCAAGAGCAAGTACCACCAGATCGTGTACGATATAACAGGTGGCTATCCTCTGGCAATAGTGGTTCTTGCCGGACTCCTTCGATTCAAAGAGAGGCCGGGTCAGTGGGAAGCTGTTCTGCAACAGCTTAGACCTGGCCGACCTGGGCCTGGAATGGAAGCAGAAGACGAGGGCAAAGCAGATTGTATGGAGTGGCAGATGAGCCCTCATCCAACACAAGTTAATCTGTCCAGCACAGGAACCACGACGATGGAGAGGGTCTTCTGGGCGAGCTTTGAAGATCTCCCCAACGACCTCAAGTCCTGCTTCCTCTACTTTGCCGCTTTCTCCAAGAACAGGGGATTCTATGCTGACGAGGTGGTGCGGATGTGGATCGGCGAGGGCTTCATCAAACCGCAAAAGGGCAAGACCGTAGAGGAGGTGGGCCACGGCTACCTCAAGGAACTGGTCTTGAGATGCCTTGTTGACACACTGGAGATGGTTCACGGTGACATTAAGTCAATCAAGGTCCACCCAAGCCTCCATGTGTTGCTGCAGTCAGAGGTTCGCGAGGCCGGCTTTGTTGAGGTTCACGACACGTATCATGTCTTCGTGTCACCATCAGTTCGCCGCCTCTCTTTCCTCAGTTTTGATAGCAAACAAGTCAAGTTCACCAAGAAGCTCCCTAAGCTACGTTCCTTAATTTGCCGCGTGGAGGAGCAGGAGACAGAAGAAGAAGAGAGGAATGATCGTCGGTCTTTCCATGATCTCAAGTTTCTGCGTGGATCCAAGTTCCTGCGTCTAATCTATGTGAATGGTTTGAGGCTCCGTGATTTGCCCCATTGGATCGGAGAAATGATTCACTTGCGGTACCTATATGTTCGCTGCAAGAACCTCAAGCAGCTGCCGGCCAGCATTAAGGGGCAGCTCAACTTGCAGACTCTGGACATAAGGGGGACTGAAGTCGAGGAGATTGACCCAGACTTCTGGAAGATAAAGACACTTCGACATGTGCTCGCAAAGCAGCTCACGCTTCCAGAAACCCTAGAGGAAGAACTGGAAGAGCTGCAAACTCTGCATGGTGTGAAGCCCCCGGGTAAAGGACAATGGAAGCAACACAACTGTCCACTGCGCAAGATGACCAAACTCCGGTCACTCAAGTTGAAAGGAATCGATCATGCTAGACACGGAGATGAACTGGAGAGTGCTCTTAAGCACATGTGTCTCCTTGTCGACTTGACTCTCCAAGGTGATGTCATCCCTCAATGCGTCTTCACTGTAGATGGCCTCCAATACCTTGAGACGGCAAATCTGGAGGGCTCCATGCGATGGCCTCAGGACTCATCCAATGTCCGCAAGGACCGACCAAACCTAGCTCAGCTCACACTGGAAAAAAGCAATGACGCGGAGCTGGGGAAGATGGGCTTCACGAGTTTGGGTGCCAAACCAGTTTATCGGCGTTCCAACAAACAAGGAGAAAGAGCTGCGGCAAACCAGAACGGTGAGCACCATGATGAAGCCAGCGCAAAGGAACAACCGGAATACCAAGGTGAGGAAACTGAAGCAAAACCGGAAGACCAAGGTGAGGAATTGAAGAAGCTCGAGAGCTCTTGTTTTTTCGTATATCCTCCAATTAACTCATGCTATAAACCTACTACTATTTGACATGCATGCAGGCCTTGAGGGACAGATGATGCAGACCATCCCTCCGTCTGAGCCTCCAGTCCCAGATCTCCTGGTGCCTGGGCCTGGGCCTGGCCGCGACGCTGCTGCTGCACACGGTCAAACTTCTACTCCTGATGATACAAGCGGCGGTCCGGACAAGCCTGCTCAAGGAGCGGAGATGGACGCCTAGTGTGGGAGTGATTTCAACTAGGGCTGGACATGAGCCGAGCCGAGCCGAGCTTGATCCAAGCCTGGCTTTGGCTCGCTCTGGAGCGGCTCGGCTTGGCTCGGCTGGCTCAACCAATGAGCCTACTTCAACCGGCTCGGCTCGCTTTGGCTATGGCTCGGCTTAAACCGAGCCGGCTCATAAGTCAGTTTCTCCCAAAACCATTTAATAGTACATACCTCTGTATATAGTGCATATACTTGATTTTTTGCGGCAATTAAACCTATATTTTGGAAAACAAACAGTTTATACTACTAAAAATGAACAATCCAGCAGTCTATTGTTTTAAGAAATGGTCATAGTAATGAAATTAATGTTCTTATATGAATTCTTCTACAAAATTGTAACAATGGAACACATATGAGAGAAAGAATTGGGCAGCATTTCTATTAAATTTTGGACAGCACTTCAATTGAACTTTACACAGGAAAACATCAAATATTGACAGCCAAACAAGGAAATTTTGCTCTTCCTCGTACTCCTCCTCATCCTCTTCCACCTCTTCATGATCCTCCTCCGCTTGCTTATCATGCTCCATTGCCTAGCACACAAAAACAACACACATGAGCTTGGACACACATATATTTGACTTATGGATAGCAAAAACAGCACACACATGAGATTGGACACACATATATTTGACTTATGGATAGCAAAAACAGCACACACATGAGCTTGGACACACATATATTTGACTTTTGGATAGCAAAAACAGCACACACATGAGCTTGGACACACATATATTTGACTTTTGAATAGCAAAAACAACAACACACATGAGCTTGCACAAAAATATATTTGACATTTGGATACCAAAAAGAGCACACACATGAGCTTGGACAAACATATATTTGACATTTGGATACCAAAAACAGCACATATGAGCTTGGGCACACATAAATTTGACTTTCAAAAAGCAAAAACAGCACATACACAAGCTTGCACAAATATATATTTTGCACGTACATACCTGCGAAGATGTAGCCTCCCTCTCATAGTAGTTTGCGCAGCCGGAGGCAACGGCGATTCCGGCACGCACGCCAGCGCCGGTGGGGTCAGGGAGACGTCGAGGCGGAGGTTTCTTTTTTACCCTATACAACAACTCAGCGATTGGGACATTGCTGGAATCATTTGTCAGCTTCATCGGCAGCCGTGTAGTAGCTGCTGCATTGCCCTTCACATTCCCCTTCTGCATCCCCGAGACCGGCAACTTTCTCTTCATAATGGAGTCCAACGTCCTCTCTTTCTCCTTCTCCTTCCCACTCGCCTTCCCCTTTTGCTTGTCCATTGTTTCGACAATAGGCATCTGCACACACAGCAAACAACAAACGGTCAATCATCAACAACAGTAAACTAATTAGACATGGAGTCTGTAATTTTCCAGCAACTAGATTTTTTTTCAAGCTGCTATGCTACAGCAAGTAGATCATCAACTAGTTCATCAACAATAGAAAACTAATTACACATGGAATCAATGAAAATTTTGATCTATCCATCCATTCTACCCTACAAGTCCATCCATACATGATCCATCCATCCGTTGCTGTTGCTACATCTAGCCGTACAGACTACAATACATCCATCCATGATCCACCCATCTAGCCCTACATCTACCTGACCATGTACATCGATCCATCCATCCATCCATCCACCAGATGTGTACTAGTGCAGACACCTACGGCTAGGGTTTGTGAAGTTCGAACTACATGACTACATCCATCGATCCATCCATCCATTGATCCATCACATGCGTACTAAGTTCAGAGAGCTGCTGCTAGGGATTGGGATTTGGGAAGGAAGAAAGTACCTGCTCCGGCTCGTCACGCCGCGAAAACCAGGGGAGGCGCGTCCGTCTATGTCCGGTGTGGTGAGCAACGGTCACGCCGCCCGTCGCCGTCGGTGCCGAGTTGGCGAGGAAGCGCGGCGTCGCTCGTCGCTGTCGATCCAGATTCGCGGGGTGGCGAGAGAGAGGTGAGGCGGCGCAGAGCTGAGAAAGGGAGAGACGAGAGACTCTGGATGTGGTTGCTCGTGCGGTCGTGCCCTAATGCGATCGATGGTGGAATTGGGCTGGGCCGCAAGCGAGCCACCGAGCTGGACCGGCCGAAACTCGGCTCGGCTCGGTCGCGAAACGGGCCTGTTTTCAGACCTCGGCCCGCTCGATAATCCTATCGAGCCGAGCTATAACGGGCCGAGCTGGAGCGAGCTTCGGGCCGAGCCGAAAAGCTCGCTCGTACGTCCAGTCCTAATTTCAACTGTCTTTTGAGACAGAGATCAGGTGACATGCACGTTTTGCATGTCACCGTCGTGTCTTACGGACGGAATTCAAATTTAAAAATTGCAAAAAAATCTGAAAAAAATCATGCATGTTCACAACACATATTAAGATAAACCCTAAAAAATTTAAATCAAAATTCGAAACATACATCGAGAAACAAAAAAGAGAAATCTGTCATGAATAGTTCACGAACGGTTCTTTGTAGACTATTCACATATGAGTTTCTCTTTTTTGTCTCTGGATGTATGTTTCGAATTTTGATCTGAAATTTTTAGAAGTTATCTTATTATGTGCTGTGAACATGCATGATTTTTTTCAGATTCTTTTACAATGTTTAAATTTGAATTCTGGCCGCAAGGCATACGGTGACATGCAAACGTGCATGTCACCTGATCTCTGTCCCTTTTTTTTGCTGGAACTGTGGTAACTTCAAATTGCGAGTTTAGTTGAGACGGATTTCTTTTTTAAAGGTAGTCGAGACAGAGTTTTTTGCCCCGTAGTGTTGATCCAGACCGATCAGTATCAGCGGGTTTTCTCTGTCTTGCATTCAACTTGTTTCCCTTTATTTCCCCTTGTGTCGGATTCCGTCATAAATTTTGTCCATCTTTACTAGCATTAAATTTACGGATTGTCTAGTTAGCATTTGACTGTTGTTCAATTTAACAACATTCAAAGTTCCTGACATATTAACAAATGACACCTGTCACTACAGGGAAAACACATGTTGCTTTTTTTAAGGGGAAAAACACACGTTGCTTTGTATCACGCCGTAAGCGGAGTGCTAAACCACAGGCTCACGGCGTATTTCAACGTAAGCCGAGTATTCTGCAACTAACACACGACGAACAAAGAACACTCGGCTTACTTCTTCGTAGGGCGAAGATCCGCTGGTTACGCACTCGGCTTAAAGATTGCACTCGGCGTAACAAAAGGTAAGCCGAAGGGCGGGCGAAAATGCACTCGGCTTACGATGTACAGTTACATGGACCACTCGCCGCCGGCGCTCAGTTGCATGGTCCGAAACGTAACTGCCACATGGCCCACTCGCCGCCGGCTAACGGCTCCGAGACGGTGCTGGATGTAAGCCGAGTACCCGATCTTATACACTCGGCTGACTGATCACAAAATATATGTATTGCGAGAAATGATTAGATTGGTGAGTTGGACTTATAAGTAGTTCTTGTATTTCTTTTCCTTCTCACTATTTCTCACACATTCTCCCTAGCCTAGTTTTCCTCGCACTTTTAATCTCATTTCATCAGTGTTAGAAAAATTTGAGACGCGTACTCGATCTACCAAGGACTGAAAGCAATCACACAAAAATGCCACCGAGATTTGTTAACGAGATTCACTGATTCAGATACATCTACAGAGCCTGACCCCGGGCACTCCTCCACGTGGCACCATGCAACTGAGCGCCGGCACACATGGCCCGCTTCCCAAAAGGGCCCGAAGACCGCACCGACTTGCGTGGGGCCCGGATATATCAACGAAAGGGCAGCCCGGTGTCTAAATACCCAGTGCACAACATTCATGTGGCACCTCCCTCACAAACCGGACAGTCACGCAGGAACGTTCAGGATGTCGGGCGGCAGTCCTCCCCATATCGAGCAGGCGGGAGTGAGTCATTTGATCGCATGCTCTCCAACCAGGGAAGGCCCAGACACCGCACCATCCTGCATGGGCCCGGATATATCAATCAAAGGGAGGGCCGGTGTCTAAATACCCAGTGCCCAATATTGATGTGGCACCGCCCTCGCAAACCGAACAATCATGCAGGAAGGTTCAGGACGTCGGGTGGCAGTCCCCCACACATCGAGCAGGCGGGAGTGAGTCTTGTGACTGCATGCCCTCCAACCTGCTCTGGGATGTCGACATGACCTGTCGTGACACAGAACAAGAGGAATATCTCCCGGTCAAACACCTCTGGCATCCGGTCAACGATGTAGACTGCACGGGCCCACGGATTTCTGTCGCGTTGAAATCCGGCCAAGAAATGCCTGGACACGATACCAGACCGTCCTGCATGGGGCCCGGATATATCAATGAAAGGGTGGTGGGATGTTAAAATACCCTGTGCACAACATTGATGTGGCACCAACGTCACAAACTAGACAGTCAAGGAGGAAGGTTCGGGATGTCGGGGTGGTAGTCCCCCACACATCGAGCACGTGGGAGTGATTCCTGTGACCGCATGCGCTCCAACCTGGTCTGGCATGTCGGCATGACCTTCCATGACACGGAACAAGAGTAATATCCCCCGGTCAAACCCCTCTGGCATCCGGTCAACGTCATAGACCGCGTGGGACCAAAGATGGCCACCACATTAAAAACCAGCCCAGAGGAGGCCCGGACACTGCACAAGCCTGCATGGTGCCCGGATATATCAATGAAAGGGTGGTGGGATGTTAAAATACCCAGTGCGCAACATTGATGTGGCACCTCCCTCACAAACCAGACAGTCACGCAGGAAGGTTCAGGGTGTCGGGTGGCAGTCCCCCACACATCGAGCAGGCGGGAGTGAGTCATGTGCTGAAGGAAATATGCCCTAGAGGCAATAATAAAGTTGTTATTTTATATTTCCTTATATCATGATAAATGTTTATTATTTATGCTAGAATTGTATTAACCAAAAACTTGATAAATGTGTGAATACATAGACAAAACACCGTGTCCCTAGTATGCCTCTACTTGACTAGCTCGTTGATCAAAGATGGTTAAGTGTCCTAGCCATGGACATGTGTTGTCATTTGATGAATGGGATCACATCATTAGGAGAATGATGTGATGGACAAAACCCATCCGTTAGCTTATCATAATGATCGTTAAGTTTTATTGCTATTGCTTTCTTCATGACCTATACATGTTCCTCTGACTATGAGATTATGCAACTCCCGAATACCGGAGGAACACCTTGTGTGCTATCAAATGTCACAACGTAACTGGGTGATTATAAAGATGCTCTACAGGTGTCCCCGAAGGTGTTTTTTGGGTTGGCATAGATCGAGAATAGGATTTGTCACTCCGTGTATGGAGAGGTATCTCTGGGCCCTCTCGGTAATGCTCATCACTATAAGCCTTGCAAGCAATGTGACTAATGAGTTAGTTGCGGGATGAAGCATTACGGAACAAGTAAAGAGACTTGCTGGTAACGATATTGAACTAGGTATGATGATACCAATGATCGAATCTCGGGCAAGTAACATACCGATGACAAAGGGAGTTTCTAAATGGTCGAGAGATAAAGATTGATATATTGGAAGGTGGTATTCGGACACCGGATGGGTTCCGGAGTGTATCAGGTACAAAATGGAGTACCGGAGGGGTTACTGGAACCTCTCGGTGGAAGATACGGGCCATATGGGCCATAGGAGGGAGGCTAACCAACCCACAAGGGGCTGGTGTGCCCCCCACAAGGGAGGAGGCCAAATTGGACTAGGGAAGGGGGCTCCACCCCCCTTTCCTTCTCCTTTCCCTCTCCCTTCCCCTTTTCCCCCTCCAGTTGAAGGAAAAAATAGGGGGAGGGGCGAATCCTACTAGGAGTGGAGTCCTAGTAGGACTCCTTCCCCCATGGCGCGCCCCTTGGTGGCCGGCCTCTTCCTCCCCTCCTTTATATACGGGGACAGGGGGCCCCAAAGACACAACATTTTCTTAGCCGTGTGCGGTGCCCCCTCCATCGTTTACTCCTCCGATAGTATCATCATAGTGATTAGGCGAAGCCCTGCACGGATCACATCATCAACACCGTCATCACGTCGTCGTGTTGACGAAACTCTCCCTCGACCCTGTGCTGGATTAAGAGTTCGAGGGACGTCATCGAGCTGAACATGTGCTGACCACAGAGGTGCCGTACATTCGGTACTTGGATAGGTTGGACCGTGAAGACGTTCGACTACATCAACCGCGTTAACTAACGCTTCCGCTTTCGGTCTACAAGGGTACATGGACACACTCTCCCCCTCTCGTTGTTGTGCATCTCCTAGAAAGATCTTGCCTGATCGTAGGAATTTTTTGAAATTGCATGCTATGTTCCCCAACAGTGGCATCAGAGCCAGGTCTATGCGTAGATGATATGCACGAGTAGAACACAAAGAGTTGTGGGTGATAATAGTCATACTGCTTACCACCAACGTCTTACTTTGATTCGGTGGTATTGTTGGATGAAGCGGTGAGAGAGTCCTGGATTAGGGGGTTTTCGGATGGCTGGACTGTGACCTTTGGTCGGACTCCTGGACTATGAAGATACAAGATTGAAGACTTCGTCCTTTGTCCGGATAGGACTTTCCTTGGCGTGGAAGGCAAGCTTGGCGATACGATATGTAGATCTCCTCCCCTTGTAACCGACTCTGTGTAACCCTAGCCCTCTCCGGTGTCTATATAAACCAGAGAGTTTTAGTCCGTAGGACGAACAACAATCATACCATAGGCTAGCTTCTAGGGTTTAGCCTCTCTGATCTCGTGGTAGATCAACTCTTGTACTACCCATATCATCAATATTAATCAAGCAGGAGTAGGGTTTTACCTCCATCGAGACGGCCCGAACCTGGGTAAAAACATCGTGTCCCTTTTCTCCTGTTACCATCCGCCTAGACGCACAGTTCGGGACCCCCTACCCGAGATCCGCCGATTTTGACACCGACATTGGTGCTTTCATTGAGAGTTCCTCTGTGTCGTCACCTTTAGGCCCGATGGCTTCTTCG